CTGGTCTCTGAGCTTCCAGTGGCGGTGGGACAGGGCCAGCCTAACACAGAGGCTCTACATTCTCCACTCCCCCCTGCCCTTTCTTTCCCTTTCAGGAGACTGAAGGCACCAAGGTGGGAGGTGGCAGGCCAGCTGAAACGTAATCAGAATAATTAAATAGCACTTTATTTTAAATCGTTGCCTCCCCCAGAGCTGGGAGAATAATTGGCCAGCCTGTCACCAGAGAAGCTGGAGACCAGTGGTCCCTCACCAATGCCAATTGTAGTTCAGTGCCCTTGGCAGCAGTGGCCTCCGCTGTGCCTGCTCCCCACCCTCACTGCCCCGGCCCGGTGCTGCCCTGCCGTCCGCCCCTTCCGCACGCCTGCTGTTCCGCCCTCAGTGGGGAGGGCTGTAGGCTGCTCCTGAGCCCCCGCGGAATGGGCTTCCTCCAGGCGGTCTGGTAGAAGCAGCCTGCAGCAGGCCTTCGATGGCAAAACAGGCCTCCTTGGGAGTGGTGAGGGGGCCTACAGAGGCCGAGGTTGGGGTCCCAAGGTCCTCGCCCCTTCTAGGCCTGGGCCTCCCCTGCCTGCCCCTCCTCCTCTTGCCCTCTGTGGGGTCCAGCCGCCCTCTGAGGGTGAACCTGCAGTGTCACCTGTCTCTGGTTTTTTGATTTGTTTAATTATAGATGAGTTTTCTGCATAATTTATTCCAAAAGCCTGGATTATACTGTACAATTAAATCGCATTCTGATCAACAACTTCACATATAAAATTAACAACTGGCAGCAGTTTAATCTATGCCACTGCATCTGCACGCAGGCTCCCCCTTTTCTCCCCTCCCCCATCTCCTTCCCTCTACCTCTCCTCTTCCCTTGGCCCTGTCCCCCTCCCCTGGGGGGGGGGGGCTTTGCTACTGGTCTCAGAGCTGGAGGCCCCCAGCTGAGTGCTCTGTAGTTTGACCAGGGGCCTCCTGGGCCTTCCGGCTGGGGTCCCCATGGTTCTATCTGCTAAAGAGGGTCCTGGTTCTCGGCCCTAGATCCTCACCCCACCCCTAGCCTGATGGTGACCCCCCTTCCCTCACATCTTGGTTCTGACCTTGCCCTGGAGACTAAGGCCTGGCTTCCTGCAGCACTGGTGTTAGCTTCTTCCCTCTGGGCTGCCCTCCGCCCTGCCCGCCCTGGACCACAGGCACCTCTGCCGGGTGCCCGCTCCTGGCCCTCTCAGCTAGGGAGCAGGGGGTGGAAGGGGGCCACTGGGGACTCCTTTCCACAGCCCCTCCCTCCGCACCTTCCCCCCAAGTGCAGGCATTTGTGGGAGATTTCCTGAGTTCTGGGGGCGGGGATCGGATGAGCTTCTAACGCCCGGGGCACTGCCCACTAATAAGGTTGCCATGTGGATCTGGCTGTTATTCAGCCACTCATTAGAGCCCCTGTTCACAAACAGGAAAGCTGAGGATCCGGTGGGGCAGAACTCTCCAAGGTCACGAAGCTGGCACGGGCGGCCTTCCTGGAGGCTCAGTCCTGGAAAGGGGGGGCCGTGGTGCAGGTGGAGCCCCGAGGGCAGGTCGAACTGCTCTATAGTATATGGCCCGGCACCCATCCTTGCCAGTGGCCTCAGTTTTCTTATTTGTGAAATGGGGGTGCAGTGCCTGGACCCTCCTAGGTCCAGGCACACTGGAGGGCATGGTGGTGCTTGGCTCTGCCCCCAGCCTCCATGCCCTCAGCAGTGATGCTGGCTGCAGCCGTGCACGTGCCTCCTTCCAGATACTCTGCTCACTGTCTTGCTAATTTGGCACTGAGAGGTACTTGGAGATAAGCCGTGTAATCTCAGTGAAGATCATGGAAAATCACCAATGGGAGGAGCCAGCAGGTGGGTCTACCCAATGGGAGGGTGGCCCATGGGCCACACTGTCTGATTAGGGAGGCACTTGGACCCAGGCTGATGGAAACCCAGGCAGGATTAATCCATTTGCCTTTGGCCACTGGGGCTGTGGATCCTTCCAGAGCCCTCATGCCCTTCTGCTGGGGTGAGGTCTGTGCCTTGCCAGGATTAGTCTCAGGTTTGTGGGCGGTTTCTCCAGCTCTGGGGCAGGCCACTGCAGGTGTATAGCTGACTCCTGGCTTCCTCAGCCCCATGTATCTGTCACCCCTTGGAGCCAGCACTGGAACACCAGCCGAACCCTGGAACCCACAGAGTCATGTCTCTGTGAAGATGAAATGAGCAACCTATTGGGTTCATTTAAACTCCTGGGCGCACGTATTGCTCTCCTAATTGGGTTTGGTGTAGGTGAATGATCAGATGACTTGTTCGCCCTGCACTGAGGAGATGGGCAGTGCAGCTGGGCCGAGGGTCTACCTATCAGGCCCAGCACGCCAGACCCAGACTCTAGGAGGGTGTGTGCAGCAGGTGGGCCAGTCCCTGCAGCCCACAGCAGAGTGTGGAGCTGCTCAGCCCGGGGACGGGGGTGGGGAGACTGTGTATGTGTGTGTGTGCATCTGCGTGTTGGGGGTCAGGAAGGGAGAGAAGAATGGAGGGAGGGAGAATGAGTATGTGTTTTGGGTAAGAATTGGACTTTATCCTGAAATGTGGCTCTTGTAAAAAAATTTTAGGATTGAAATAGCCTTTTTTGATGAAATGATGGTGATTATAATAATAATAATGTGTTGTCTGAGCAAAATAAAAACTTGGCACCCATGCCTGTTCTTCCAATTAATTTTCTTTTACTTATCTGTGAAATCCTAGAACGGAAGACCTATAGATATACTAGAAAAGAGGCAGCAGCTTGGGAATGAATCAGTACCATGCTGGTATATGTTTACAGTTTGCTCTCCCGGGGAAGAAGGAACAATGTGATTGGCAGCATTGCCGATGTCTGGCTATCCCCCTGGCCCGAGCTCCCGAGGTGACAGCGCTGGATGCATAGCTGGGAAGAAGTGCGGTGGCCCTTGCTGACTCCAGCACACCCCTGGGTGGAGTCCTATGTGCACCACCTCTTGGGCGGGTGACCTTGGGCAGGTCACTTAACACCTCTGTGCCTCAAATTCCTCATCTGTAAATTTGGGAAGACGGTGTTTGCTTCTTCGTGAGGATTGAAGCAAGAAAGCAGGTGACATGCTGGCACCACACTGTGTATATATGTAGAGGGTGTCCTTGTACATAATAGTCCCAGGAAGGATTATGATTGGCAGTCTGTCCCCTAGACCAGTGAGTGGCAGAAGTCAGGGTCAGGGCCAGGGCAGAGCTAATAGTTCCCCTTGGAGATCAGCTCCTTGACCTCACCCATTCATGTGCCACCTGCCTCGCTGGGCACAGGACTGTGCAGCAGCCCATCTCAACACTAGGCCCCCCAGGCTTCAAAACAGCCACCTGCCACACTGTCCACCAACAGCCAGGGCCAAGCGATCAGTGCCTGGTGGACAGGAGCCAGGGCCAAGCAGGCACTTCATTCTCCACGGGGCTTTGCCCTCCCCCAGCTGGCGGCTGATGCCTGATTGCCCTTCGTGCCTGGCCTGCAGCCTGGCCTCTGTCCGGGCTCGAGGTTAGCTTCCCCCTGCGGTGGGGAGTGGAGGTGGACCTCAGGCTGTGGCTCAGCCAGCCATACCTCTTTCTTTTGATGCTGATTTTTTTTTCCATCGTGGTCCTGACATTCAGCTTGGCAAATTGCAATTAGTGATCCGCCTGCCTCCTGCTCTGAGTTCCCATGCCAACCGACCTGGGCACACACAATGGCATGGGCCCAGCCCCCCCGGCCACAGGCCTGAGGAGGGAGGTGGAGCAGGGGCCCCTCTTCTGACCCACAGAGCTGGAAGAGTCCCGGTACCACGGGACACTGGAGGAGGCAGGGAGGCAGCAGGCCTAGGGCAAGCATGGGGGCAGACGCTCTTGCAGATCCTTGGCTCCTGGGGTGGCTCTCCAGAGGCTGGGGGCTGGCACCGCCCACCTCTCCCTTGCCCTGTGGGGAGTGCTTGACCCATGGGGTATGTAAACCCTGTGGTACTTCTCCTGTGAGTCCTGCTGCAAAGGCCTCATTCCGTGTCTGTGGGTTAGGGAAGTTGAGGTACCTTTTAGGCGCATTAGGACAGGGGCTTCTGGTCGCAGCAGAAGCACCTTTGGCAGTGTGGACGCTGTCTCTCTGGCCATCCCCTTTGCTCACTTGATCTGGCGCTGCCTGAAGAGGGGTCATAGGTTAGAGCCTGGGCCAGGCCTCTCCCCAGGTACTGCCCCTGTTCATGTCTGGGCTGAGAATACAGGGCCATGTGACCGCCTGTTCATCCTGTCCACTCCAAGGATCCCTGAGCAACATCCTTGACATGTTCTCATGTGTCCTCATACCCTCGGAGGTGGCACCAGTGCAAAGGACACCTGCTCAGGCTGGTGGCTCAGGCGCAAGACTCGTGGGGCTTGCTGGGTCTCCAGAAAGGAGCAGGATGGTCTGAACTGGACCTATGGGTGGGTGGTTCATATGGGATATCCTCAAGGGGCCGCAGAGAAGCATCTGTTTACCAGGATGCAGGAAAGGCGAGGGCCACCTGAGCCGGGAGCGCTCTGTGTCCACTGCTCCGAAAGGCCCAGAGGGCCCGGCGCCTGCCCTGAGTTACACAATGACTTGGTGGTGGCAGCAGCCACTCATGTTCCCTCCCCTTTCCCAGACCCCACCCAGCCTTGGCGACAAGAGGCTCTGAGATCCAGCAGGCACCACCTGGCTCCCTCCTGTCCCCTCTCCCTCGGTGTCCAGAGTCCCACATTCAGAGCAGCAGCAGCAGCAAGGGCTGGCTCTTCACCGTGAAATAATCTCCCCGCGGGTTCCTGGAGCTGCTGGCTCCCTCCGTGCATTTAAACTCCAGCCTGCTCTCCTCCCTGGCTGTCCACCAGTGCCTGGGCCTCAGGCTGCATTTCAAAGGAATCAGGGGTGCGCTCTGGTTTCTGAAGGGGCGGCTGCTGCTGGGCACCTCTGGGTGCTGGGCTGGGCTGTTCCAAGCACCAGGCAGGCCCCCCTGACACCTCTCTCCTCTCTGCACACAGGATGCAGCACTGGGCACGGCGCCTGGAGCAGGAGATCGACGGCGTGATGCGGATCTTTGGGGGCGTCCAGCAGCTCCGGGAGGTAAGCCTGCTGCCGCTGACTTTCCCCTCTTGGAGCCTCCTCCACGTGGGAGTGAGGAAGGGCTTCAGAAACGAGGAGTGAGGACAGTTTGGCGGGCGTTGTTGAGGACCTGGTGTGGTGAAACATACATGGCTGGACCTCGGGGGGCAGGTGGGGACATAACGAGAAAAACGGCAACTCCTTTGGGGCTTGGCCTGCTCTTCTCGAGGTCACTGTGCAGAAGTGGCACCCAGTTGGCCCTGGTGTTGGGCTTTGCAGGTTGTCAGGTGGGTGAGGTTGGTGTTTGAGGCAACATCTGGGGTGGGAGTCCGGGCCCTGGAGGGTCCAGCTGATGCAGCTGTGCACTAGCCGGAGGGACTGTCCGCTGTGAGTGGGGTGGCCAGGCCACATAGCCCCGCGAGCAGTACCGCCTGTCCAAGGTGCTGTTTGTTGGGCAAGAGGCGGCGACAACCCGTGCTTGGCGGGATGAGCGATCCAGGGGCGGGAAGGGTGATTGATTAGGCCGAGCGACCACATTCATCCTGGGAGATTATGTTAATGTTTGAAATGGTGATGTGAAGAGCAAGCCATCCGTCACCCCCAGAAGGCTGCAAAATGTGTCGCTGTCAGTCTCCTGAGCCATCGCTTTTTATGTGAAAACGCAGAGACTCCGAGAGCTGAGCTCTAGGAGGGGCTGGGAGCTGAGGCGAGGAGGTGGGACCAGGGCCTTGACAGGCATGTCCTGCCAGTGGTTCTCCCGGGGACAGCAGAGTCGGCAGAGTTACTCAGAAAGTCCAGGTCCACAGCTCTGTGATGAGATACTCACTGTGTTCCTGTCCCTCTTGGTCAGGGCCAAGGTCAGTAGATGGCACCTCTGTGGGGCAGCTACCAGGGATGTGGTTCTCGGTCATTTCCCCACACTCAGCGTACAGCAGGTGCCCAGGAGATGGGGGTCGCAGTGACGGGGGCTGTGAATGTGGGACCTCTGTACAGGAAGGGGCTCATCTGGGTATCTGACGAGATACTAACGTGCTGGAGAAAGGGAGTCCGGGTCTGGGGGTCGGAGCCACCCATTTGCTGGGTGTTCTCCCCCCAGTACCCATCCTCCCTGAACCTCCTTCCCTGGTTGTCAGGCTTGTATTGCAGTAACCCCATCCCACCCTCTCCCTGTGAACTCTCGGTGACTCAGCCACACTCGGAGGCCGGCGGAGTCTTCCGAGAAGGTGCTGTAGGAAGAGCCGTTCGGGAATGGAAGTCAATGTATGCTCAGGAATAGAGCCCAGCACTCGCGGGGTTCTGAGTAGGCACTGCCAAGTGCAGCGTGTAGGTTAAAGAAACGAGAGTCCCTGCAACGTGTCGTCTGCTTTTCCAAGTTTCGTATCGAGACATAAGATGTATCCCAGGAGTTAGCCAGGTGCCTCCAGTCAAGAATCGTCCTTGCACCCTGGCCGGTTTGGCTCAGCGGTTAGAGCATCAGCCTGCGGTCCCGAGAGACCTGGGTTCAGTTCCCGCTAAGGGCATGTACCTTGGTTGCAGTTTGTCCCCGGCCCTGGTCGGTCATGCAGGTGGCAGCCACTCGATGTGTCCCTTTCACATCGATGTCTCTCTCTCTCTCTCTCTTCCTCTCTCTTCCTCCCACTCTACCCAAACAACAACAACAAAAAAATGTCCTCGGGTGAGGATAAAAAAAAAAAAATTATTAAAAAAAAGAGAATCATCCCTGCTTTGAATCACCTTGAGGACATTGTTGGTTTACAGTCATGGGCCACGCAGACCCAGAAAGTTTGCCAAGGAAAAAGTAACGAATATATTTCATGCCTGAAATCAGCTGGCTTCTTGGGTGTGAAGATGAGGTGGAATCCCGGCCCAGCGACCCACTGTGTGCCCCTGGGCGATCCTGGCCCTTCTCTGCTCCTCCTCCTCGCCCCTGGCGCTGCTGGGAGGTCCGGCTGGAGGATGCGGAGGTGAGAACGGCCACGGGCAGACTGACACAGATACACCCCTTTTTTATTTATTTATTTTTTTAAAAATTCTTTCACTCCTCACCCAAGGATATTTTTTTGTTTATCTTCAGATAGAGTGAGAGGGAGAGAAAGGGAGAGAGAGAGAAACATCAAAGTGAGAGGGACACATCGACTGGTCGCCTCCCACACAACCCCAACTAGGGCCGGGGACAGACCGCAACCCAGGTACGTGCCCTTGGCCAGAATCAAACCCGAGACTCTGGTCAGTGGGCTGATGCTCTACCGCTGAGCCAAACTGGCCAGGGCAGATACACCCCTTTTTTAGAAGTCAGATTTGAATTCCCTCATTGATCATTTTCACTCCCAGGACGTGCTGTTTCTTTCCTTTCTGGTGGCAGTTGAGCGAGTCCAGGTACTGTCCTCAATGCTCACGTCTTTCCCCACCCCCACCCCCCCAGCAGAAACCAAAGGCACAGCTGGCCATGGCGGAGATAGGGCTGGGATGGGGCTCGACCTGGTCCAGGGGCGCCTTTGGCACTACCTCCCTCTTGGCAGGGTGGGCCGGGCAGCCTGGGAAAGTGGGAAGTGGGCTGGAGCAGAAGCCGTCGTGGTGTGGCGGCGGCCAGCCTGGCAGCAGGCGGCGGAGTGCTGACCTGGCGTTCCCGGCTCCTCCTGGCGGCCCTCTGCCTGCCAGCTGCCAGCTCTCCGGTGGCTCTCTGTCCTGCTCCAGTTTTCTTCTCACCTGCTTCCTCCGCCTCTTACTTCCTGCTGACAGCTCTGGGGCTGCTTCTTGGCACAGGGCGGGCACGCTGGTGAGGTGGGTGGCAGGGAGCAGGTGACAACTTCTAGAGGAAAAGGACAGCCCTGGGGGAGCCAGCGGGGAGCCAACCGGTCGACTCCCAGCCCCCCACACCCAGGCTGAGCCACTGTGGCTCTCCGTCCAGTGCATAGGAGAGGGCAGTGTGCCCAGCCCATGCCCGGCTCTGAGGGTCAGGAGGGTGCTTGCTGCAGAGCCCTGACCCAGCTGCGGATGCTCCATGGACCCTGGCACCAGCTCTCCCGTTGGGGCCGCCCCTCCCCACGCCTCCCTGTGCTGATTCTGAGCCGCCTCAGGCACCGTGCAGCTGGGGTGAGCCTGGAATTCGCCGACCGCCCGGCCTTCTTCCCCTAAATGGCTGTCTTCTCCGCCTGTCCCAGTCCTGGACGCAGCCCCGCCCCCGAGGCCGGGAGCCACAGCGCTGGCAGCTTCGAGGCTTCGGAAACTGCAGACAGTGGCATTTGGGAGCGTTTTCCTTGTCTTGGCACTTTCCTCCTCCCAACCCCCCCAGAACCCCATGCGGCCATGACTGGGTGTCCACTGTGGCCCATTGAGAGGCCGGAAACCATGGCACATCTGGGTAGGGCAGCACATTTTCCCATCTAACCCCAGGGCCAGCACATAGTAGGAGCTCCCACTGTGGCTTGGTGCCATCCCCACCCCCACACTTACGGCCAGACACTCCTGAGTCTGCCTCCCCTCCCCCCGGCCCTGGCCTACTCTTGCCGTGGACAGGTCACAGAGTGTGGCACCTACTGCAGTCGGCCCTGTCCAGAGCCCCTGGAGGCTGAGCGAAGTCTCCTGAGCCCCTTCTCTACCCTCCCCTTTCAGCACCATATTGTCCCCATCCTGGGGGAGAGCAGAGAGCATATGCTTAGGCGCTGAGCTCATTTACATAATGAGGCTGATCAGGATGAATAATTCATCAGGCGCCTGGGGGTGCATGGGGGAGGATGCAGAGATGGCCAGTCTCCCTACTCTGAAGCCCAGGCCACTCTGATGGGTACAGCCAGGGGACTACCTCCTCTGACTGGGTGTCCAGGGTAGAAGGGGGACAGCTCTGTAGACCTTGTGGGAAAGCAAAGCATGAGAGATTACAGTCAGAAGTGAGGAAGGACCAGTGCTCATCAGATTCAGCAGCCCCGAGACGGGTTCCTGACCTGGGGGGGACACCATCCTTGGAGAGTCGCTACAGAAGAAATAGAAGACCCTCCGGGGGGGGTGGGGGTCAGAGGTAAGGGAAGGCTGCCTGGCCAGAGCAGAGTTGGGAGCAGAGACCTGGGATGGCCATGTCTGGGGACCACGGGCTACCCTCTGGGAAGGCTCCAGCCAAGTCTGGATCTGGGAGGGTCTTTCTCAGTCCACATCAACACCCCCCCATACCTGGCCTGCTGGTCGGGGCAGGAATGGCTTAGAGCCCTGCCCACATCTCTCACCACCTCAGCCCCCATGGGGGTCTTAGCCCAGCCGGTTGCTCCTGTGGCCCTGACCTACAGAGCGGGGAAACCAGGGTGCTGGCAGGTGTATCCACCAGCCAGTCCCACCCTGGAGCCCTGACCGGCCAGGCCTGAGTCGTGGTGGGGCTGGGCAGAGTCTCCAGGCAGAGGGCAGGCCCAGGGCCTGCCTGGAGGAGCCCCCCCGGGGCAGTGCCCCGTGGGCTGCTGAGCTGTGTCCACAGAGAGCCGGACCCCAGGACTGGGTGCTCGCTGACCCGAAATCTCCCACTCCCCTCCTCACTGCTGTGCTTCTCTGGACAGTCACTGTGACTCAGACGGATGGCGCCCGTGTACCCCTACCCCTTCGGGTAGCCAGGAATGGTACTTTTGAGCCTGTGATGGCGCCGCAGTCCCAGCCTGTCTCGGCCGCCTCTGGCCGTCCCCGCACCCCGAACCCAGTGCTCCCTGGGAATGTGTAATTAACACTCGCAAAGTGCCACATCTGGAGCTGGCTCTCGGCAAGGACCAAAATCTGGCTGCATCCAGGGCCCCTTTCTGAGGTGCTGAGGGAGACGGGGACGGGCCTCTGGGTGGGTTCCTTAGAGACCAGCCTCTCCATTTCTCCCCACGCCTCCCCCCGCCCTTGCTGGTCCCCCAGCTCCTGAGACTCATGCACACTCCCATCCCGGCTGGCCAAGGCTGTCCTGTTGGGCAGCCGGGCCGCTCAGGCCGGGTCAGCAGCGGCTCGGAGCGCCAGGGGAACTCTGACAGCAGCAGTGGGGGAAGTGCCGGGGCAGAGGTAGC